TTTTTGAGCGTGTATAGTACCGGTGGTGATGAGTGCGATAAGTGCAAACGTTTTGGTAGACTTTTTTTCTTGATACATCCCTTGCACATACTCAACCGTATTTCGTTCAACGTGGTCACTGACCTTTGGTATTCCTTATTATTACTATTTTGCTAAGTAGTGGAGTCAAGGAGGTGATGTTTAACAATGCGACGATTCAAGATGATTTTTAGTCGTTATAACAGTCTTCACTTTCGATGGTTACTAATAACTGATGCGAATGTCATTTCGCGGATCAGTCTGATAATTCAGCAAACATCAGCTTCACTCTTCCTAGTAATCTTATCAAAAATACCGATGAAACATTCTTCGTAAAGCTTTATTCTGTGACGAATTTCTTTGACACAGTGCATAAAAAACGAGAAACATAATCATATTTAACCATAACCACCATAAGCTGTAATGAAATCACAGTTGAACTGGAAATGTGATGAAATTAAAACGGAAACGACAACCGGGATTATTGATATCACTTCATTTAGTGTCATTCAGAGATGAGATGTGCACAGAACCGTTGAAAAACATTCAGTAAAATAATCGATTTGCTTCTATTTACGAGCCGTTTCGTAATTGGTGATGAACCAATCAACGGATTCTTTTATGGCCTGATCGAACGGTGTGAATTTGAAGTCGGGCAAATATTTACGAAGTTTCGCATTCGATGCAGTCTTCTTGTATTGACCGTCCGCTTTGGATTTATCTTGCAACAGTTGTCCCTTCAAACGAAGAGAAAAATTTTGGTGAGCAACATAAAAGTTCAGCATCTCGCAAATACGCGAACATCACGAAGCAAGTGTATTACGGGCACGGATATAATCGGCAATATAAAAGTTTCACTGAAATCAGTTGATGAAAGTACTGAATTCAAAAGCACAAATATCAAAACCTAGATCAAAGGCAGTTCGTAAATTACCTTAAAGTCGAACGCCTTTACGATAGCATCTACCGCATCCATTATTGATACTTCATCTTTCTCATCAACCGACAAAATTATTGGCTCGATTTCCTGAAACAAAAACAATTGATACTATAACAAGAATACATTAAAGTATCATTAATTCGTGTGAAGATACACATCCGTTTTGATCACATTTACAATAAAGATGAGAACTTGGCTCAACGAACCAATCAATGCTTTATTTCATGGGCAGTTTCCGAGAGTATTTCAAATACTGAAGAAGATACGAAAGTTCAAAATTGAGACGAGAATCAGTTCCAATTATCAAACAAAGACCCAACAGATACATTCACATATCAGAATAATAGCTAATTGATGTTGTGATGAACAACGGAACGATTACTGAAAATAACACAATCCTATCGTCAATGATGATCAGTGATAGAGATGTGATTTGTGCATTATTTAAAGCAGTTGAATTACCTCATAATCACGCAACACCCAAACGAAGAGACGCGCCAAATCGAGTGAATAAATGAATTGTCGCAACGGTGTGCCACTTCCGAAAATCTTAAAGTTTAATTAAGCTATCACAACAATTTGTAATCTTTCAACAATCACCCATACTTTCTTGCGAATCCACGAGAAAGCGGTATTAAGTCGATTGCACATCATTTCTCGAATATCGCAATTTGCGGCCACAAACACGAAAACATTCGTTTATTCCTTCGCCTATCCTTTATCCTTTTATGTTTTTAAAGGAACACACAAGTTGAATGAACAAAATAATTTTCTTAAATATGCAAAAATTCAATTCACTTGGATCTAATTTTTCCAACTGAAATTAATGAAAAAGTTTATCTTCCTCTCATTACTGAACCATATTCGTAACTTCATTTAACCGATGCAAATCTCCTTGATATATTCATGAATTCATTATCATATCACATCAGTACGACTATTCCAAATCAATTAATTTAATAACCTCGAGCGGTGTTCCATCACGTTTAGCAATGTATGTTTTATGGATGAGAGCTGGTATAACATGCCCATTCACTAAGTCATAATTGTCATGTGGACCGAATACGTTGCATGGAATTACTGCCGTATATTTGCTTGAAAAAGTTTATTTATTTTCAGCGAATCAATTCATAATTCAAACCTATTTAATATATCGTTCAGAATTGCATTATCAGCAGAATAACTGTTATTTTATTGCCTGATGAGATTGGTGACACTTTAGAAACAATCGAA